CTTTCTTTCTTTCTTTCTTTCTTTCTTTCTTTCTTTCTTTCTTTCTTCCTTCCTTCCTTCCTTCCTTCCTTCCTTCCTTCCTTCCTAAGAAAAGCCTTTACCTGTTGTTTTTCTTTTTAAAATAAATGCATTTCATTTCCCACAACTCTTGGAGATTATTATTATTACCTGGCTAGGAATATTCAGGACTTATCCTTGTTCTTAGCTCTAAACAACACAGAACCCTGAAGTGGGGAGTCACCTCTAAAAGAGGCAAATCTGCATTTGTGTTATACAGAACCTGATATATGGATCGGTGCGTTGAAAAACCAATGCCACAATCAATAGGAAGTAGTCTTACCTGACCCATTTTTCAAGTATCCATTGGCATCGACGGTGGTATACTTAATATAAGGTCCAGGTTGATTCACACCAAAAGGCTGAAAGGAAAGGGACATTGCATTATTTCCCTTTCTGGTCCTAAACATTGGCATAAGAAACCATTCTCCTCCAACAAATTCCTTCCTTTGTTCGCAGTGTTTTTCTATGATTTGAAAAATAAACAGATTAAATAAACAGATAGCTATTTCTACCCATCTGAAATGAACTACAGTCAGTCTCGACCAGAGATAGTAGTCAGCAGGTTCTGACCGGTTCTGGAGAACCGGTCGTGGAAATTTTGAGTCGTTCGGAGAACCGGCAAATGCCACCACTGACTGGCCCCACCCCCATCTATTCTCTGCCTCCTATTGAGTCCCAGCTGATTGGCTGGGTCTCCTTTCATTGCGCTGCACAGGAGAATGGAGCTGGAAAGCAGGTTAGTGAGGTGAGGAGGGAATGGGGATTTTGCGATATCCTTTCCCTGCCACGTCCACCAAGCCATGTCACACCCAAGGAACTCAAGGGAAGCCCCTGCAGCCTTTGGAGGCCGGAAAACAGGCCCGTTTTGTCACTTCCTATATTTCCGGAAATACCGGAAATAATGAAACGGGTCCACTTTTCGGCCTCCAAAGGCTCCAGAGGCTTCCCTTGAGTTCTGTGGGAGGCCAAAAAAGACCTCAAACGGGCTGAAAATCAGCTGGGAGGTGTGCAGTGCAGGTAAGGGGGCAGTGGCATGGGGGAATCACACGTGCAAGCGCAGGGGGCATGGGGAGGCGGGCACATTGCCTTCTGGGCGCTGGCATGCGAGCGCCACAAGCGCGCGCACAATTTTCAGACAATTTTGGACAGGAGCCCAAAAAGGTTAGTCACCACTGCTGTATAACATACAAAAAAAATAGCCTTTTTTCCATCTATAACTTAGCTTTAACCTAGCTGTGAAGCTTCAAGGTTGATGTGAACACACAGTAGCATTTAAAGTCACCCTCTGGCCTGGGGACAAGGAATCTTCAGAAATATCTGTAATGATTCTCAGTCCTCCAGGTCATGGTTGTCCCGAAGGTGCTTTTTCAGGAGGCAACTGGACATTCTTGTTTTTTCTTTGAAGACGTTTCCCTTCTCATCCAAGGAGCTTCTTCAGTTCGGACTGGGTGGTGGGGAATGGAAGGATTTATACTCCTTGCAGACAGCTGGTCATTTGCAAGAAGGCTCCACATCCATTTGCACTATTCAGGTGGCCCCAAGGACACAGATAAACCTCCAAGTTCTTCAACAACCCTCTAAAAGGATGCAAATGACCAGCTGTCTGCAAGGAATATAAATCCTTCCATTTCCCACCTTCCAGTCAGAGCTGAAGAAGCTTCTTGGATGAGAACCAAAACATTTTCAAAAAAAAAAAACCCACAGAAAGTCCAGTTGCCTCTTGAAAAAAATCATCTTGGGGACAATCTTTTCCAGGGCAGCGATGCCGAAAACTGCAAATGCTTCCAGCGGAAATATTCCTTCTCATCAGCTAATGCAAGTCTAAAATATGATTGACTGCAAGCTGACAGTTTGATAGTACGAGGAGATGCCAGATTCAGGCAAGCTGAAGTTACAGTGATTGTATGGCAGTTTGATAGGTTTTCTTTTTTTAATTGCTTTGTGTTTCTTTCTCTCTTTTAGGAACGGGGGGGGGGGGGGAAGCAACAACCAATGAGTGGGAGACTCAGGAGAAACAAAGGGAACACAAGCAAACCTTGAGTTACAACCATTTAGGGATCATTTGAAGCTGCAACGACCCTGGGGGAAAAAAAAGCGACTTAGGACCGTTTTTCACACTTAATGACCATTGAAGCATCCCCATGGTCGCATCGTCAAAATTCAAAACACTTGGCAACTGGCATGCATTTATGATGGTTGCAGTGTCCCCCCGAGTCACGTTTAGCGACTCTCTGACAAGCAAAGTCAATGGGGAAGCCAGATTCACTTAACAACCAGCTTACTGTTTAGTTTATTGTCATTGCACCTCGTACAACAAAATTAAATACCATCTTCAGTGTACATTAGGACTATGAAAATAAACAAAAACACACATCAATTCATGTTTCTATGCAATTGAATTGAAAACCCCTGATATTGCATTAATATTGCACTATACAGTAGAATTCAAAAGAGCTACCGCCCTGGGCTAGAAGCTGTTTTTCAGCCTATTTGTCCTTGTTTTTATTATTCTGTACTGTCTGCCAGATAGTAATAGTTCAAAAAAAAGGGTGTCCAGGATGAGATGGATCTTTAAGGATGTTTTTAACTTTCTTAAGGCAGTGGGAGCTATGAAGCTCTTCCAAAGAGGGGAGAAGGCAACCCATGATCCTCTGGGCAATGACGTTAACCCTCTGGAGTGCTGTCCTATCTGCCACTGTGCAATTGGCAAACCATGCAGAGGTGCAGAAAGTTAAGATACTCTCTATGGTGCAGCGGTAGAAGGTCACCAGCAGTTTTCCATTCAGTTGTTGTTTCCTGAGAAGCCTCAGGTCGTATAATCCCTGCTGGGCCCTTTTGATTAGTGTTGCAATGTGAGCTCCCCAGGTCAGGTCCTCTTTTAGGGTAACACCCAGAAACTTAAAACTGGCCACTTGCTCCACTCGGTCCCCACTGATAAGCAAGGGCTGGATGTCCGATTTGTTCCTTCTATAGTCCACTATAAGTTCCTTGGTCTTATTGGTGTTAAGTTATGGTCCCCACACCACTTATTACTGATTTAATAACCTCAGTGGTTCACTTAACAGCTTTGGAAAGAAAGGATGTAAAGTGGGGCAAAAGCTCACTCAGCAACTGTCTCGCTTAGGCACGGAAATTGGGGCGTCAGTTTTGATTGTTAAGCTGAGGACTAACTGTACTTTCATAAAGACATAAACCAATATACTGAAGTTGGTACTGAGGTCACCCAGCTGGTCAGTTTGAAAGAGAGATTTTGGGAGTCAACACTGTAAATGGCTACATGGCTGTTTCACATGCCTCCGAAAAAGAGCTGCCAGAAATGTGAGTGGGAAGGTGCTACTCATGACCTCCTCTGAGTTTTTACCCACGTTTCTATACTGGATGCATTCCTGTTTCTGGGGCTCAACCAATTCAAGTCACACTCAGCTATGACTTTGGGACGTTCGTTTGCTTCATGGTGTAAAATTATAGCGCTCTTTCATCCCACAACGACGGAGCAGAGGGTGAAACACCAGCACGATGCTGGCATCCGAGCAAGAGTAAAGGAAACTCCCCCCACCAAGCAAGGGTCAATTCAGTGACCAAGCAGGATGACAGATGTGACCACATGACGTGAACTACATTTCCCATGATGCATTAACTCCATTTACCGTGAGGCATTCCCTTAAGGGGACAGCTTCCAATTCTAACTTAACTATCTCAATTCCCAGTTACCTATATACCGTCTGGACAGCACAGGCAATAAAATGGAACTACAGCTGGCCTTACCACTGCAGCCCCATGTCCCACCCTTGAGCTGCTGGAGAAAAGGCAGGATAATGTCGGTCGCAAAGGATCGAGAGCACACGAGGTTTATTATTTCAAGCCTACTTAGTCAACGAATGGTCAGCCCTTAATGGGTGCCAGGTAAAGATGGACGGAATTCAAGGGGGATTGTTTGTGGCAACGTAAGGACTCTGAGCTGATGACATGTTCAACTCCGCCCTCAGCTCTGCCTGCTCTACGCCTACAAATATATAACTAATAATACCAACAAGCAAATATTAAGTTCTGAGGCAAGCTGTAAGCTTTCCGCTTTCTTCAGCTCTGCTCCATTTGTTGTCTAAGCTGCTTCTGATCATGTACAGCTCAGGTTTGCTTTACACACCCACTGTGTGTATCCACTTCCCTTGTTCTACTCCATTTGCTTGACTTTTTATTTCTCTATGTGTTTTCTGTACATCACCAATCTTATTTCTAAGGCCAGGATTTACATACCTATTGCTCACATATTTTACTGAGCTGTCCTCATTAGTGAAATACCTTCTAGCTAATAGACACGGTCTGGCGGCATCCATTAAACACCTCTCTAGATCCTTCTGGTATGATTTGCTTCCTGTCTCCATTTCCTTCCATTTAGAAACACCACGCCTTGTAAAAGACACAACGTTTTTTTAAAAAACTTTAAGCCCTTGGACAAGGACATGGTGATTTAAGATGCCAGAGCTCATTTGATGTTCAGTGTAAAAAAAATAATAATAAGAAAGATGCAACACACGCTGCTTCCTAAAAGACCAAACTGAATTTCTCCAGTTGTGAGTTTAAAGCTTATATGTGACCAAGGCACCTCCCTTGGAAGTTCTGAATATCGATACAACTCTGAGGCTGTTTTAAAAGAAGAGTAAAGTGTTTAGCCCAAAAGAAAATGATGCTTTGCAAGCAAAGAAAAATCTACAGCACTATTAATACTCGGCCCCAGCAGTGCCTCCATATATACAGGTTTTTTTGGTTTTTTTGAAGTCAAAAATATCTACGAGCCATAAACGTGTCTCCTTGGGAATTAAACGCAATGATAAATACAGATCGGAAGGACAAAACGCAGGGAAAGCAGAACGTCCTCTGCATTTTTCAAGATGGTGGGAAAAGTCACCTTTGGGAAGGGAAAGTAAAGAATAAGGAAAGTGGTTGAAAGTGACCAAAAGCAAAACAAAACAAAACAAAAGGCCCAAATGAGAAGCAACCATTTCAACAACAACACGCCTCAGGGATCAAAACTGCCCTGAAGTAGCTGTCAGAAGTTGGAGTTTTCAAAATGACTTCACTGTTTTCAAATATTTATTTGGAAGATACATCATAACCTTGTCCACTGGTTGATGAGAGGCAGAATATATATATATATATATATACACACAGTATATATATATATATACACACACAGTATAAATGGCAAACTGAACAGCCAATGTTACTTTTAATCCAATGAATATCTTTAAGCTGTAAGGGGCTGCCACCAAGAAGGTGGGGGTCTTCTCCAATGTAGCTAAAGGCAGGAGAAGAAGTGATGGATGGAAACTAATCCAGGAGAGAAGCAAGTTAGAACTAAGGAGAAATTTCCTGACAGAACAATTAGTCAGTGGAACAGCTTGCTTCCAGAAGTTGTGGGTGCTGCATCACTGGAGGATGTAAAAAAGAAACTGGACAGCCACTTATCTGGAATGGTATGGGATTTCCTGCTTGAGCAGGGGGTTGGACTAGAAGACCTCCAAGGTCCCTTCCAATTCTGTTATTCTGTGTGCTGGGTCACTAAGGAAATTCCATGCACATCCATGGTCTAAACTAGACAATGCTCTATAATAAACATTAATCATCCATTTGCTTTAAAAAAACATGGGTGGGGGGCAGTGGTGGGATTCAATTTTTTTTTTACTCCCGGTTCTGTGAGCATGGCTTGGTGGGCGTGGCAGGGGAAGGATACTGCAAAATCCCCATCCCCTCCCCACCCCACTAACCTGCTTTCCAGCTCCGTTCTCCTGTGCAGGGCAACAAAAGAAGACCCAGCCAATCAGCTGGGACTCAGGAGGCGGAGACTAGATGGGGGCGGGGCCAGTCGGCGGTGGGATTTGCCAGTTCTACGCACTACTCAAATTTCCGCTACCGGTTCTCCAGGACTGGTCAGAACCTGCTGAATCCCACCTCTGGTGGGAGGAGTTGTTAAAAATACCTTACAGTACAGTACAAGGAGTAAAAGAGAACAACATGAAAACGGTGAACAAGAGCTAAGATTTCAAAGTGCCTGAAGAAATGGTATTTTTCCAGCATGGTTCTCTGTCATGACAGAGAACTGAATTAAAAGTTAAATTTCTCCCATTCAAGAAAGTGTGGCTTTGGTTGTCCTTGTCATGATGAAATGGTGAGCGACCAGGACATGGCTATCTTTTGACAAACAGAACGATGGTCTGGATTGGAGATGCCAGAATTCCCCAGGAATGGATTTTAAGAGCATACTTACTGTTATCTTGCGAGGACAGTCATTTGAGCAAAGGCCGCTCAGCACTGTGGGTAAACAAGAGAAAAGATCCATGGTTGTTAGCACTGTGAACAGTGTTTCTTAGGCAAACACCCTCCAATTTAAAGATTGTGGCTGCCTACTTTCTCATTTTGCCAAGGCAAATGAAGCTATAAAGGCTCAGGGATAAGGAATTATGGACGTTTGCCTCACACCATTCGGGCTTGGAAAAACATATATTTTTTATGACTCCTTGCGCAACGAAGATGCTCTCGTGTTTCATAATCAGCTGAGTGACTTGGTGTCAAAGACACCAAGGTGGGGGGAATTGGGGGTGGGGGGGGGGAATTAACATGCCTGCTAAAAATTATTTGAAAAAAAAAAAAAGAAAACCTTTCTAAAGGATTTTTTTTGCTTCTGGCTCATTAAAAGCTATGGAGCTTTAGATCTTGTCTGCAGAAGTTTTGTTTCTTTCTAAATGCAAACATGAAAAAGTATTAATAATATGTATTAATTCGGGTTGCCTGAGCAGGTAAATGTACTGACCATGGGAAAACAAAATATTTTAACGCTGTGTTTGTTCTTTGTCTTCCTTGCCCTTAATATCTTCAAAAAACACTCGTTCTTAAAACCACTTCATCTTGGTGCCAAGTAAGGGTGAAACATGCTGTGATTAAGCAGTTATTTCCTTAATAACTTACTGCAAAAACTGAGTATCTTTGAAAACAAAGCTATTGTCCTTCCTTCCTTCCTTCCTTCCTTCCTTCCTTCCTTCCTTCCACAGTGCTTAGAAATGTCATATTGCAGGCTAGTTCTGCCCACAGCCAGGAGTTCAATCTTGACCGGCTCCAGGTGGATTCAGCCTTCCATCCTTCTTTGGTTGGCAAAATGAAGACCCAGATTGTTGGGGACAAGAGGCTGACTCTGTAAACTGCTTAGAAGGGGCTGTAAAAGCACCGTGAAGCGGTAGATAAGTCTAAGGGCAATTGCTATTGATGTAGGGAGGAAGAACTTGCATATTTTATTGATTGATTGAGCACTGCAGAAACATAGAGCATGGCTACCCAAAATCGCCGACTGACACCTTAGATTGAGCCAGTCACTTTCTCTCAGCACTAAGAAGGAGGCAATGGCAAACCACACCTGAAAAACCAGGCCAAGAAACATGGGACTTTTCTGTAAGTCTAAGCGCTATTTGGTAAGTGCTACTGCTATTCATTTAAAACAGATATTATTTTAGTTTAAACATTAGAGAGCCTCTCTTCCCGCCACCCCACCGTTCCTTCCAAACATCTGAAGCCAGTTTTATTCCTCAGAGCTGGAGGATCAACGCTTCCCATCAGAATGCCTGGTGAGGCAGAAAAATAAACTCTTTTTATGATGATACTAGCTGTGGGCTGACATCTCCCAGCTGTGTAGTCAGGAACAGCAAGCGGTAGAATGTCCTGAAGTTAATTCTCTATAACTCTGTCTAAAAACAGCCCTATTCCTAAGCCACAGCTAATGTCTTTCGCATTTGCTTCCCTTAGATAATTTCTTCCCCCTGAACAAGAGGTGGAAACAAATTTGGGATGATGACTTGAATCATTTGTAGCGTAGAGAGCACTTCTTTCTTCTTCTGTCCTGGCCGCTTCTTACAGAGGCACGATTGGGAACTGCATCCCTGTTTGGTTTGCTGGCAGCAGTGCATCAGATAGAAAGTCCATACAGAGAGTGGTGAAGACAACCAAGAAGATGATAGGAATCGCGCTTTCTGTTATTCAGGATACTGCTTATAAGCGCGATGTGCTTAGAGCTCAAAGCCTTGTTAGAGACCTCATACACCCACTTCACAGTCTGTTTCAGTTGCTCCCCTCTGAGAGGAGTATTTCGAAGTATTTCTAACAGGACTACCGGATTCTGTAACAGTTTTGTTCACTATGTCATCCGTTGGGTAAACTTGCAAGATTCGTTATTCTCCCCATGCACATTTCTATCACCACAGTTCTTAATGATGCAAATAGCTGCTTGAGTTTGTTAAGATTTCTTCTTTATAGATGAAGAACAATCAAAGAAACTGCTTAGAAAAAACTCAGTATGTCTCTCTTGGTTTTTTTTTGGAACCTGACATCTCCACACAATTTAATAAGCCCTTGGTTATTTTAGGGGCTACCAACAAATCTATTTTCTTTCTGCTTTCTGGTTCCCTTTTCATGCCTTGTATCTGAGACAGACATCAAAGTAACATTGCTGTGGATGTTCTTACTCTTGAGTAAAATGGAGGATAAAATAGAAATTATAACGTTACTCATTTCATTAAATGTAGAGGCCATCCAAATTCCAGATGACTCTGGGGAGCTGACGTTACAAAAGATAAATCATGAAAAATTCCAAATGCTTCCACAAATATTCATACTGTATTACTTTTTATACTTTTCGGGAACTGGCAAGAATGTCCTAAAATAAGCAGACCTGTACCTGATTAACTAGGTTTTCTTTAACCTGTTCCTCTCAAGTATACATTTTAATGCAATGTCCTATCTCACCTCATTACTATTTAATAGCCATCTTTCTGCTGTTCTTAGGCTGGGTGGAAAACTATGGGCAGTATTGGATTTTTCCCCTTAATAGCATTTTAATGTTTTCGTACTGAGCCACTCACCAATGACTTTAACGAAGTAGGCATCTGCTTCAAAGTTATTTTTTAATGCGTGGATAGCAAGCTCTTTTTTAGGAGAATTCTTGCTGAGGACAATTATATCCAAGATTCCCTAGAGACAGAAAAATGCAAAAGCACATAAATGAATAAGCAAGTCAAAAAGCACTAAAAGGGTCAACAGTGTCAGAAAATAAAAATATGAAGATTCTCTACGGAGATTCTCAGTCCTCCGGGTCAGGGTTGTCTCAAAAGTGCTTTTTCAGGAGGCAACTGGACTTGCTGGTTTGTCTTTGAAGACGTTTTGCTTCTCATCCAACAAGCTTCTTCAGCTCTAACTGGATGATGGGGGAATGGAAGGATATATATTACTTGCAGAGAGCTGGTCATATGCCAGAAGGCTCCACACCTATTTGCAGTACTCAGGTGACCCTGAGGACACAGATGAACCTCCTAGGGGCCTCAAGGACTTGCTAAAAGAATGCAAATGACCAGTTGTCTGGTTTACATACCTTGTTTCCAAGGTTTGCCGGATGATCCCCTAATATGAACCAGTGTTTTAAATCAGGATCAAACACATACAAGAAAACGGGGATGGCAGCTAAGAAGGCAGGAATACGGCGGAAAGAGCTCAACTTACATCTTCGTAAATGTCAAAGAAGGTGGCCACCGCAGCATCCTTGATTTGATTTAGATCGGACAGCGCCCAATGAACCTTAAATGACCGGCGTGCACCCTTGCAGCTTGCGTTCCTACACTCTTCATTCTCTAACAGGAAGGCCTGTTGGTTGCTGCAAACAAGGAAGGCACAAAACAGGTATAAGGTCTTAAGCTCCCTCTTCATGACACCGATTGCAAGCCAGCATCATAAACGTTTATGGAAAGTCCCAGTCTGCAACCCATCCAACAGCTGACTTCTGAAGAAAATAACACGGGAACTACTTCGAAACAGGGAAATAGTCACCTGCAGGCCCATAAAACAACGAATAGGTGAATACACCTATTTCAGTATTTCACAGAAGGATAAACCCTTGATGTCAAATCTGCAGAGTACAAGAATGTTAATGAAATCCAAACTGCACTCAGTCCATTTCAAAACAATTCACTCTGTTGCAGCTGATCAAGGAGGTGGTGAAATATAATTTGTGGAAGAATGTCGACTTTAGAGGGTTGGCTTAGGGGGTGAAACCTTGCAGACCGATTTTCGTTTCTAAGATAAGAGGAGGGGAAAAAGAAGATTGGCACTGGGACATGTTTGGAAAGCAAAACTTTTGCCTGTCTGGAGTTTCTCTAGGAGTGCTGTTTCAAAAAAAAATGTCACAACGCTCAACTGCCCCGCGGTACAAAGAACGGGTGCTTAACCTGTACCTGCAAGAGAAGAAAGGGTGGCACTGGTTTTATTCCCCACTTCCTGTAAAAATTTCCCTGCAAACGGAAAGGCAGGGCAACAGGCTAAAAGGTTCAGCCAGCCTCAAGCAGCTGCGTTCCCAAAATAGACCCTGGCATGGGAGGGTGAGAGAGTTGGGAAATTTTCAACGATGAAAGTTGATGCAGCACGGCACGGCTGCGGGCACACCATGTGCCCCTTAAAACCCTTAACCGCGTGATGGCGAACCTATGGCACGCATGCCGGAAGGGGCACGCAGAGCCATCTCTGCGGACAGGCGAGCTGTCGCTCAAGCTCAGTTCTACTGTGCATGTGCGTGCGCCTCCCGCCAGCCAGCTGATTTTCAGGTGTCTGCCACGCATGCATGGAGGGTGGGGCACATGCAGGAGATGCGTGTGCATGCGATGGGGGAGGGAGGAGCATGGGATCTCACATGCATGCGCATGGGGGGTGGGGGGAGCACGGGGTCCTGCATGCGTGTGCAGGGGGCGGGGGTCACAGGAGGGAGCGTGCATGCACTGCATTATGGGTGCAGGCAAGTGTGCATGCTGTTGAGCACACGCATTTTTGGCACGAGGCAAAGAGGTTAGTCCTCACTGCCTTAACCTGTCACAACTGGGCCCTAATTGAATAGGGGTTCCAACAACCACAGAAGGGATGCTGGTAGGCCAAGGGACAAGGCATGAAGGCAGGGGTGGGATTCAAAAATTTTAACAACCGGTTCTGTGGGCATGGCTTAGTTGGTGGGCGTGGCTTGGTGGTCATGTGACTGGGTGTGCGTGTTTTGGTGGTCATGTTATTGGCTGGGCGTGGCCAACTCAACATCACTCACATCTAGGCACGCATCTCCTCGCTAGGCCTCTCATGACTGTAGGGATGCTGCTGCAGTCGTAAGTGTGAAAAACGGTCATAAGTCACTTTTTTCAGTGCCATTGTAAATTTGAATGGTCACTCCACACAAGCAAAGTAGGGGAAAAAGGAGGGGGAAAAAACTCCAGAGATGTTCCTGAGACAGGAAGTCTAGTCCTGCCAAGAATGTAAAAAGGGTCAGCGGAGAGGCAGTGTCTGTAAGCAACACCAGAATGTTTCCTTCCTGCCTTCCTTACAGGATTAGGCCAGTAATTTCTTCTAATAACCAGTTCTCCAAACTGCTTAGAATGTTAACAACCAGTTCTAGCAAACCGGTCTAGGTGTGAACTGGTAGAATCCCACCCCTGCACGAAGGTCACAGAGCCAGGTCAAACTCCCTTTTAATGCGCCCAATGTCCCGTCAAATGTTCCCACGTTCTTGGCAAGTCCCAGAGCAAAGCACACGCACACACACCAGCATCTGGCTGCGCCCATTCCAGCAAAACAAAGGAACAGGGAAATGAGTCCAAGAAACAAGGAACAAACGAAGAGTCCATGAAGTCAGGAAGAAGGCATTGAGTGCACAAGTAAGGAAGAAGCAAGCAATTCTGCAAACTCCAAATGTCTGTACTGGCACACCCAGCTCTACCAATTCAATGTTTGTTCCTGACAAATGCCCCTCCCTACAATGTCTCCTTAATTCTCAGTCCCCAGGTGTGCCTTGTGAAGAGGGGCGGGACGATCTTCTCCTGAGTTGTCGGGTCGGCCTATGCTGTCCCCAACTTCTCTCCAATCTCCGTGCTCAGGGATCAGGAGGGGGTGGTCCTTGCTCATCACCTAAGCTCTGTTGTTCCTCATGTCTACTGCTTGTCCTCTCTTGGTCATCCTGCCCCCATTCCTCCCTGCTAGCGAGCCGTCCTAAATCTGAGGGGCCTTGGGCTGCCTCAGCTTGCTGGTCCCCACATTCCTCAAAGCCAACGGAGCCGCCCCCACGATCTCCATCGGTTCTAACTCTGGCTTGTCCTCCTCCGCAGATTCAGGCTCCGACAGGGGCATGATACCAGGTGTATCCTGGATCTGCCCTTGTTGTGGTCGGGTTTGTTGTACTCTACAGGCAGTCCCTCATTTAGTGACCACAACTGGGCCTGGCAACTCGGTTGTAAAGCAAAGAATCGCTAAGGAAAACCATGACTGCTGGCTTATGATCCAACTTCAGCTTTCTTCTGAAAAGATCGTAAATGCGAGGATTGGTGACTCTTTCATCGCTGTTATAACAGGGGTCGCGAAAGGAGGCAGTTGCTAAATGAGGTTTTAGCTGGATGAAAGTGTAGGTGTTGCGTTTTGCGGTGCTTTTATCTTGGTGGTGCTTCAACTTAAGTTATTTCTCAGGACCGATGACATTTTTTTTTTAAAAAAGAAATCATGGTTAGCTGAAAATTATATCTCCAGCAAGCCATCTGTAGTCTGGAGGAGGAAACAGCTAGGCTGAAACAGAATCCTGCAGCAGCTGGGAACAGCAGTTATTTAAATCAGTATTTCAGCCATACCCCCAAATTATTTGGCTGTTATTGAAGATTTAAGATCAAATTATAAACCAGGCTGTGACAATACACTAAAATGGAAGCTAAACTAAGAACGTTTATGGAGATTCTCAGCCATCTAGGTCATGGTTGTACCAACGATGCTTTTTTAGGAGGCAACTGGAATTTCTTTGGGTTTTTTTTTTCTTCTTTTAGACATCTCGCTTCTCATCCAAGAAGCTTCTTCAGTTCTGATTGAGTGGTAGAGGATGAAAGGATTTATATTCCTTTCCAGGATGAAAAGCGAAATGTCTTTATGGAAAAAACGAAAAGCACCTTTGGGACCAAACTAAGTATAGCAATGTGTAACATCACAAGACCCTCACGGTTCATCCCAAGGCTGCATATCTGATTTGTGTAATCTGGTTGGATCCTTTTTGGTTTTTTTTATGTATCAATGTTTCCTGGGTGAATCCATGTCTTTTTTAAGCCCAAGAAGCAAAGCACTGAAAGAATTTCCACCCGACTGTCAAATTGCCAAACATTTCTCTCTCTCTTGATTCACAAACTTTGAACACATAAGGATTTTTGGCGGCATTTTGCCGAGAATTCCCTTTTCATTCTCTAGAGAGATCCGAATGTTTCTGTATCCGACACTGGATTGTTACGCATAAAAATGTTCATACATATAATAGAAGATCCTGATAATTGAAAACTTTATAAAGGCAGAGAAAAGAGTAAGATAAGTTCCTTTCCCACTCGCATTTGTGCGTTAATGGATTCTAATGAACACAGGACAACTCTATAATCAGTCGTTAATCTTATTCAGGCCACTATACACAACCTATTTTATAACTATTACAATAATCTTGGTTTTTTATTGCACTTGTTAACAACTGTCAATATATTTCCTCTCTAAAACGGCATGCTAAGTGTTTCATGCCAAGAGCCTCCCCTTCCAATTATCAGCTCAGATTTTACAAGAATTTATAAATATTTATAACCACCTTTGGCAGTTCATCTGCCAGTGGGAGAAAAACTGATTTTGTTTTTAAAGAGCTACTCTTTCCCCACACACACACACACACACACACACACACACACACACACAAAAGCAGAAATAGCATAAAGGTAATTCAAATTCTGGAGAGGGAGTGGTAAATTTTAGTATGAAGGACAACCAGTAAATTTATGGAATAAGTATGAATAAGTTTACTCCTCTGCTAGTTTCATGTTTGACTATCTGCCAGATGGAGGCCAGCACAGAATTGAGGGAAATAAAAGCTTCTAAAAGTATATATGGAATATAAATCTCTCATTTACTAGAGATGCAAAATTGTTGTTTTTCCTTCAAACAGCCTTTCAAAATGTGCAGCCATCATGATTTGGATATTCCTTTTTTTCTGTCTGTCCATCTCTCTCATCCATCCATCTCCGTCTATCTCATCCAACCATTTCTATCCATCTATCTCAATCCATATCTTTCTATCCATCCACCCATCCATCCACCTACTTCCAATTCAATCAACCTGCCGATCTATCAATCTACCTACCACATCTGCCTGTTTACCTACCAACCAAATCTACCTACCTACTATAACTACCTATCATGTCTGTCTGTCTGTCTGTCTGTCATCTATCCAAATTTACATAGCTCACAGCAACAATTGTAACTGCCCAACAATGTTAAGGGATAAGCTGTGCCACAGCTACATTTCCTGGAACCGAATCCCAGAGCTTAATGTAGACCTCTGTGTTTTAAAATAGTTCTCTTAACCCCATCAAGAAATGTGTTTTTATTCCGTACCATTCCTGTTACGTTTCTTTTCTCTTCCTATGTTGGAACAAGGCTTGACATCTTGTTGAAATTATCTTCAATTAGGCAGCTGTGTACAATTACTACTTAAAAGTCAGAACAATTTGCCTTCTTGAAAAATCACTTGCTTTAACTTGAAAGCTTTTAAACTTCCACTGCAAGAAAGGCCCGCTAATAAAATGTTCCTTAAGTGAATCTTGAAATCATATATAGAATCAA